GGGGGGGTGTTGGGTGTGGTTGGGAGGGGGGCAGGTCCTGTGGGAAGAGAAGTGGGTGAGGAAGGTGGGGGGGATGCAGGGGAAGGTGGGGTGATTGGGGGTGGTGTAGCTGGGAGGGGTCAGGTGAAGACTGTCCCTGGCTGCTATCACCAAGTGCAGCTCCCGCATGTTCCCTCGTTGAAGGCTTTGGCATGGATGTGGCTGCTAGGGGAAGGTTGATTGGGGGTGTAGCCGTGAAGGGTCAGGCGATGACCAACACTACGACCAAGTGTATATAGTGTATGTTCCCTTGTTGAAGGCTGGAACATGGATGTGGCTGGTAAGGATTTCCCCGTTGTAAGGCTGTCCTGTCCAGATTCGACATGGAATGCCTTAAGAAATGAAAAGGGGAAAATTTTTGAAATTGAAGTTCTGACTTTTATTTATTTGTGATATGCCCCTCTGACGGCTGATTGACCCTATTGTGCCCCTCTAACAAAGATTTAAGTTTTTGAGAAACATCTGGTGCTGTTTGGGCATGAAATATGTTCAATATGTGCCTACTAGTTCTCGTTTCAAATTTCCAGTATGCCCTGGTAGCTCCCCTCCTAGGGCCAGGGGAGGGGCTGTGAGGGCCACCAACGACCAGAGGGGTATGCTGGAAAATTAGACCATTCACTTATATGGGCCTGCAGGAAACTTTCGTGGCTCGAAGGGCAGGACAGGGGAGCATACAACGAATAAATAGAAGTTGAAGGGATATTTTATTTTTTTCCTAAAAACATAATAATAATAATAATAATAATAATAATAATAATAAAATTGAGGCCTTTTTTAGCAATGTGGTCGGTGGGGAAGAGGTGCGAGGGATGCTAAAACATAATAATAAAATTTAGGCCTTTTTTAGCAATGTGGTCGGTGGGGAAGAGGTGCGAGTGAGGCTATCACCCTACAACTGAGAGTTAATTGCAAAAACATTTTGAAAGTTCCACAACAAAATTGAGGGTTTTTTTCATTGATAAGAGTGGATGGAGAGAGGTCGAGGAATATGAGATATTATCCTTTTGAGAAAGGATTACACTGCCTCTCAACATAAAACACTTTGTTGAAATCAATTCAGGAAGTAACATTTCTCCCTCAGTTGTGGTTGAATTATTGTTGGTATATTGCTTAATTCTCTGGGTTGTGGCTGAATTATTGCTTAATCATTATTGTAGAACTTTCATTGTCATGATACAGAGTACATTGCAAAAATCGTAGTATTGCAATGTATTATTGCTGGTATTTGCTTTTAGAATTGGATGGTTGGAGGGTTGAAAGTGATGAATTTTAGGCAGGAGGAGTCCTATATAAGTAATGGAAGGTGTGATGGTAGACTTCGTTTGTGATGGTAAAGATCGAGATAGAGCAGAGACAATTCGAGATGTCGTACGCTACTCAGCATCCGAACATCACCTGGCGAATTGAAAGCGCCCACGGGCTTGATATATCATTGCCAATGCAAGTCCAAGAGGAGTGCGGTATATTGTTAGGTGAAGGTATATTTGTTTGGATTGAATCTGGTCTCGATGATGACCAGAATGGTGTAATCGTGAGAGTAACTTTCTATGCCTCTTTATCATTTTGGGCAATGCATGAAGTTGAGCTAACACTGAGACATGGGAGCCGCCTCACAAAACCTTTCAAGGATAGCCGAAAAAGTTGCTGTGAAGTGAGAAAGAGAAATGTTTTATGAAAGAGAAGAGCAAGTGACCACTCATATAAAAGTGAGGGCATGCTCGGGAGTTTGTATTTCCTTGGGGCCTTGGGCTATGCATGGAGTTGAGCTAGCACTAGGAGATGAGATTTTGCTCGCAAAACTTGAAGAATAGTTGAGGCGGTTATAGCGAAATGGGTAAAAGAAATGTTTCATGAAAGAGAAGAGCAAGTGACCACTCATATAAAAGTTAGGCATGATCGGGAGTTTGTATTTCGTTTCCCCGTTTCGTATTGTCTTGCTCGAGTATCTCGTGGAGGAGTTTTTTGAAGTAGCAAGGATAGAGGTATCAACAGATGCCGCCTTAGTAGTACGGGTTGCAGGCATTAAACATGCGAGTTCATATACGATTTGTACTTGGATCTAAACCTCTTAAGGTTCTTACCCTTTAGTTTATAACTTTAGAGTATGGCTAATATTGTGGGTGCTTACGTCGATTCCCATGATCCGGGTGACAGGTGTGAGCACTGGGACGAACTTTGATTAAGGGTAGGCAGACAGTGCGCGCCCAAAGAGTCTTTTGTTTTTTTTATGAGCTTTGCGTTACATATGACTGACCAAGGATTAAGAAAGGATGTGATGGACACCAAATAGCGGTTAGAGGTAGCAATGTCTTCGAGAAGTCTAGAAGGAAATAAAAATTGAGAGTGTTAATACTGGAAAGAACAACTTTGAAAAATATTTGTACAAAAACATTGAGTGGAACATCATTTTTTAGTGTGAATATCTCCTTTCGAACCATGATAAGATAAACTATACATGGGATCATGCTATTATTTGAAGTAACCATATTTAGGCTTCGACAATGAAGTTCGGTAAGGAGCTGACAAGGTAGTATGGGTTGTAAGAGCGAGATGTGGGTGGTTTAGAGGTATAATCCTCATAAATATTTGTACATATGGAATATGTTAGGATTACTTTGACCTGTGTATATTAGTGTCATGAGCAAGTGGATTAGTGGGGTGGTTCAGAGGACGGGAATTGAACGATCAAGATTTTTTCCGGTGGAATAGTAAGTAGAAATGCTACTGAAAGTGGACTGAGATAATATTACTCTCTTTCTAGATTCAGATAATTGTAAATATATGAGTGATATCATGTGTCTAGAGAGTGGTTTTTGCGCGGGTATTGGACTTCCTAGCTCCGATTGTGATGTGAGCAAGCTATGTGCGAATGATATAAGGATTAGGGTAATGTCGATTTTGATTCTTTGAGTTTAAAAGGAATATTGATTTTATGATATATATGATCTACGAGTTGAGCATGAGAGTCTTCCTTTGAGCAGATGTCTTCGATAAGGTTATGATTGTACAACTTTTTGACTTTGGCTATTGAGTCTATAACACTTTTGTGTGGTAAGTGATAGTATCGTAACTATTTTCGATCCTTTCAAGTTGATATTTTCCAATTCTTGATACATTGATGACATAGTAAATATCCTCTTAAAATTTTCACTAGAGGATTTTCAGCTTTGGGTACACGTGTGACTTTGAGACTATTTGTCATTTTTTAGTTGGGATATCCCTGCGCGTATTTAAGATTGGAGACTAAACGACCATTCGTTAAAATGAACATTTTCTATTTTTTGAATGAATTTGAAACAAAGTTTTTTTACTCAAAACTCATTAAAATTTGTTGTTTCTGAGGGTCCACTGGGCCTTCCGGCTGTATATGGACCTAGCTTGAGACCAGGCACCTCCGGGCAGGACTTCTTGGAGGTACCTGGTCTGAAGGTAGCTAGGTCGATGTACAAGCAGGGGGTCCAGCGTTTTACCAACGCCGGTCCCTCAGGAACAATATATTTTGACGAGTTTTGGGCAAAAAAACTCAGTTTCAGTTTCGTTCAAAAAATAAAAGATGTCCATTTTGATGAAATGACAGTTACTATTTCTTTGATCATGCAATCACAATCACTCTCACATAATATTGTAAATTTATCATTATGTATTACTTTGTGTAAATGATGCACATGATGTATCTCGTGTAAGTGTGAGTATGAAACGTGTAACTTGTTTACTCTTTTGTATGCTTAAACAATATATTGTACGGATAGGCAAGCAGTAGTGCAGTTTGATTGGTTAAATGGTGTGAAGATCCTAAAGGATCTATGTAATAGTGAGATTTACAACTTGTTCATACCAAATATCTTTTTTTTTTTTTGAAGTTGTGACGAGGCCACATACGTGAGTCCATTAGTGTTCTATGATTCTATGGTTGACTCCCATTAAAGTGGAAGGTGATTCAATGATTATTTTGTGACTCATCTCAAGCGGAGGGTGATTATGTGATTTTACGAATGACTCTCTTTAAAGTGGAAGGTGATTAAATGATTTAAATTTAAAAAAAACATGAAAATCAATTTGAATCTGACAAGAAGGACAAAAAAAGTGATTGTTCATTGGTGAAATTTTGGAATGCCGCAAATATGGTGAAAGTTTTGAGAGATGATCCTAAATTGTGTGACCGACCTTTCTCTAAGTCAGTGGAAGGTTACAACCTTATGAATCTGACGACAAATTTTTGTTTTTAAAAAGGACGATATGTCGGAGATGGTAAATGTCTTTGAGTCAAACGAACCTCTTCGTAGTCCCGTAGTAAGCCGAGTTCATTGTGTCATGATTGTGACACACCGCTAAATCACTATGATGCTAGTCTTAAGACATATATAAGAAGATCCAGCTAGGGGTTCATCTTGCATCACTAGGGCGTGTTGGCTGTAGATCATAACCTCGCAGCAGACCCACTTCCCACCAAAGGATAAGGCTTAAGGGGTGTGACTGCCCCTGAGAGTTTTACTCTCGTGGGACCTCGGAGGGATAAGAGTCGAGTTGGTATAGACTTGCATCTGCGTTGGTTGAGTATGAACTCTATTTGCTCTGGGTCTTAGATTCGATAGGTAGTTGCATTAGATGCTCACCACGTGATGACACTAAGGGAGTTAGCTTAATTTCTGCATTTTTTTAGGTAAGTTTATTTCTCATGCCTGACTTTAT